TGTGCATTTTGAATTTTTGAAATAAAATTTACGTTGTTGTTGTGGAGATTAAAGTTCAGGATATTTTCTGACTGGCTGGCGCGCTACGTTCGAGATTTTACTAAAACCGGTTTTCAAATGTTTCAACTCACGACACTACCGCATACCAATGCAAGTGGCGTAGCAAACCCGCAACATACATCACAACTAATCACCGATACACAGTTTCATGACGTATACYCATTTAAAATACTTGTGCCAGTAAGCAAAMACAACGTACGGTCAAAAGCTCTCTTCAAACTWACACTATTTACAACAGACCATTTCGACCATGACGGCTAAGAACAAGCGAAGGAATGCTGCCTCCAGAATGGAGAAGCGAGCTGAGCGCGAAGAGAAGATGAAGGATATTCCAGTCTATGACGGCGAGAACAAATACAGCGACGAAGAACCCCCAACACTCGAGTCCACGTACAAGCCCTTCACAACAGCTCAGCTTGGCGCCCTGGTMTTTCTCATGGCCGGAGTATCCAAGATCTACGAGCTCAGTGTGGCCTTGCAGGAAGACAAGCTCGAAGCCCCGAGTTGCATGATCTACCTCAACAACGATGAGACGACGTGCCAACACCCCCACTTTCAGAGTTTGGTGCAAGCCAAGTACTACTCGGCGATCAGCTTGACAGGACTCGTTGCGATCTATGTCTTGCAGCTGTGGCAATCGGAATACTATTTCATGAAATTCATGAATTGCTTGTGTATCAGCCCTCTTTTTACTACTTTCTTGGCTATGGTTGCCCTACCCTTCACTGTTCAATCAGCAACAGAAGAAGGGGTCTTATCCAASAAGAAAATGTGGGAACTGTGCACCGTGCTGACTATTCTGTACGGTACGGTAGCGCCCAAGTCAACAGACCATCTCCCCTTCTTTACTGGCAAGAAGGAAACTGAATCTGTAGATCTTGTTTCACCTCAGAGTTTCGGTCTCTGGTGCTTGCTCGGAGCTAGTCTCTGGGATATAGCTCGCGTGTTTTACACTGCATATTCTAGCAACGTCGGTGTGCAAAATGCGWTGCTTGACACACCCGTTCCATTCCCAGAACCTGCTAAGGTCTTGGTCTACTTCTGGATGGTCGATAAGATTGCTATGGTTCTTTTGTATGCTTTTGCTATTGTCCACCTTCCTAATTTCAAGCAACGTGCYATTTTGCTGGCATCACTRGGTATTAAGCTTTGTGAATACTATGYGCAGATTCCCAGCATGGACGACTCGTGGCAGAATCAAGATACCCTTGTCCCCATGACGATGGGACTGGCGATCCTGAGTGGCGTAGGRTGGTTCTTTTAATCACGCTTTGCCCTCGATTTCTCTGGCCGAAAAGCAATTCAGTACKATAGACTGGAAGTAGAAAAATAGCATTGTTTWATTTTCACCCAAATCCTATCTTGGTATAATTTACATGTGAACTTTGATTTAGGAGACATTATCGTACGTGATTATCTTTGTCTGTCGTTTTCCCCTTTTCTACTTTCTCAATTGCCTTTCTTTCGCTTATCAACTCCCCTCCAGTAGGCCGCCAAGATGCTTCCCATGCAAGAGTGAGCCGTGGCCGAAAGTGCTCCAGGCAAACTCGCAATGGAGGGAGCACCGATCGATCGCGCAAGAACWACCGCCAGTGCCGAATTTTGCATGCCGGTTTCGATCGAAATYGTGCGAGAGGTGCGTTCCCCGAAGCCGGCACCACGTCGGGGCACGAGGTAACCAGCCAAAAACCCTATTGAGTGAAGGCCAAGAACGGAAGACACRATAAGGGGAATAAGTCGTCCACTCGTCGAGGCAAGTAGTGAAGCATTTTCTGCTACGACGCCTCCACTGATAACCAGTTCGKGTTTGCGATTTTGCCAATGATTCGGAAATGAACAACGTCCAGAATAATGTTTGTGAGAGACTGCGCTAGCTTCGACGTCTACTATCAGAATTGGTTCCTGGTCACAACGAATCGGAGAACAATTGCAGAGTGTGATACGTACCAWATCAGGGCCACCAGCACGACACTAGCAAAAGGCGTAAAACGCGAGATGCGGCTTGCTAACTTGGGTGCCTGAGCATTGACGAGCATTCCCAACAGCACCGGCAACAACACCACACGCGCTGTAGCTGCGCACAGCGTCCATCCCGAGATGGCGATAGTGCTGCCGACAAGAAGCTTGACCAAAAGCGGCGTTGCAATCGAGGCCAAAATCGTAGAACAAGACGTGAGCATGACGGAGAGAGCGACGTCGGCCTTGGCAATGAGCGATACCAGGTTCGAAGCGGTTCCTCCGGGAGAACATCCCACGAGGCATAGTCCCAAAAACAAGGCGCTCCCGTGTGATGCAGATGCATTGAGCAGCAATGTTCTACCTATAGTAAATGCTGTCATGGGCATGATGAYGAACTGACACAAGACTCCCACGGGAACMGAGRCGAGATCATTTTTCAAAACTACCGTAAAGTCGTCCTTGGTAAGGGTCAAACCGGTGCCCCACATAACAAGAGCAAGCATTAGGGTGATGAGATCMCCTTTGTTGGTCCAGAGAAAGAGAGAAGGTCGAAAAAACGCCAATAGCGCTCCACCCAGTACAAAAAATGGAAAAGCCGAAGTCAAAGTAGCAAGGATAGTGTCTAGTCGATTGTTTTCGGCTTCGTTTTCTTGTTTCGCCCCGTCACCCGTGTTGTCAGATGCAGAAGATGACAAAAGTTGTGTCGAAACGAATGTCGATTGCGATCCAAGTTGCACTGATGGATCCCACCGAAAATYAAATGCAGCAGTTGTCGGAGGTCCATAATTCGATTGTCGGGTAACTTTTCGTGGAGCTTGTATAGCGCTCTGCGAAGGAAGGAAGGCGCCGGTCAAATGGTGACAGGCCAAGAAAATSAATACCGCCGTTATGAGTGTTTTCATTGTTTGGATGCTTATATGTCTGTAGAATGTAAATCCCTTATTGCTGGCGGCTGGCGRCTGGCGGCTGGCAACTGATGCTTTCAAACTCAATAAAACTAGTGCTCCTAATAAGTGTATTGAGCAGATACGGTATGAGCGCTATCTGCTGGTAATCGTGCAATCGGATACTTTTGATTACTCGATCGCTCGATCAGTAATCTGGACTCTCAGCGTACAAGTACCGCTAGGTACTCGTACGTACGTACAGTAGTACAACAGTCCTCGCACTAGCAAACCTTTTGTCGTCTAGAAATCGGAGGAAAAAAATAAAAATATCTTTTTTTCGTCCCGAGATCCAATGTTCGAAGCTACGCTAGATAKTATTAGTAAGTATATACTAAGAGTACTATCCTATGTTGGAAAAAGCTCCCCCTATCAAAGTCCAGATCTACCATACGTAMGAGTAGAGCTGGCCGGCTCGGGGGGGTGTAAGGAGTTCATTCATGCCATTGGATTAGATTTTAAATACGTCTCAGTAATACGATACCTTACAGTAACTAAAAACTGCAGAGGAAAAAACTACTGCAATGCCGGTTCGTATGATACAATACAATACGAAAGACAAATCGGCATTGAAAACAGAGCTTTGTTCATCAGGAAATCATTGAGACAATGGTGAGTCGAATGATTAGGTGAAGACTAAGAATACAGCACAATCAACAMACATTAACTTATTTCCAAAGTTCTACAACCACGCCAACAATCACTTCCAATTCCAATGCACTTCAGGTGTCTCCTTCTAGAAAACAGACATTGATTGAACCAAAACAGGATGAATGAAACAACAATAGCATCGATGTCATCATCGGCATGGAATTTGCTGCCTCCATTGACGTCGACTTTGGACACCAACGCATCGTCAACTTCTCATTCGGATGAATACATACCAGCAACTGCCCCTGCATGGATGGTTGAATTCGTCAACTTTCGCCGACGGCTTTTCTTGTGGACGGTCGAGCCCATAATTGTCCTGTTCCTAGGCCCCGTAGAAGAAAATCTCTTGACAAATGAAAACAATACCACATCAGCATTTTGGAACATCAGCAACAACGAAAACTATGGATACGACAACCWGACATYCCATCGACGTCTTGGCTATCTTCCTGAATATGTGGAGAACGCATCGACATATCGAGACACCTCTATGAGTTTTGCCACTCTGATTACTCTTTTCATGGGAATGTCTTGTATTTTGCTCATCTTTCTGAGTTGCTTTTATCATAATCAAAAGACTAGTCCGCTCTTCATCAGTCCACGACGACATCGTCTGCCGAAGTTAGTGCCACCACCGTTGCCCATCGGAGGGTACTTTGACTGGGTAAGTTGCTTATGGTTTTGGACTCGTGCAGTTGCAATTGATTCAAGTGGGAATTCGATAGTTGGATGTTTTCGATTTCTCGCAATATGCTGCTGTTTATCCCCTTATACTTATGGATGAAAATATTATACCATTGCCTGTATCAATGCAATTTGAATTGAAACAACCAAACAAAATAGGTGAAGGTGTGTTTTTACATGTCAGACCAGGAAATTATTCGGCGAATCGGTTATGACGCCCTGATATTTCTCCGCTTCCACCGATTGGCTCTCAGATGCATTGTCAAAATGTCCATATTCAGTTTTGGGGTGCTTCTGCCACTGAATTATACTGGTGGYGGTGGAGCTAACGCGAAAAATATAAAGGGATACGTMGAGTCTCTATTCGTGACGGATTTTCTTCGTTTCACCATGGCCAATGTCATYAGTGGATCTCCTCGGCTCTGGGTACATTGCTTTGCCGCATATTTACAAACTGCTATTGTTGTGAGGGAATTGTTGGTRGAGTACGAAACATTTAACAGTATTCGCCACTGCTACCTGCTTTCGAGGGAACCGCACTTGCGAACTGTCCTTGTAACGAATATCCCTCGCCACTTGCGGAGTCCCAGCAAGATTTCCACGTACTTTACCCACGTTTATCCGAATGCCGTCAAACACGTGGTAATGTGCCAGAATTTGTTGTACCTGGAATCCCTTGTTACAGCGCGGACGCACCTTTTGTCGAAAATCGAGCAAGAACTGTTATTATTGTGCCGCAAAGAGAAGGCTCGTTTGTTTGAAAACTCRTCACACTCGGCTACGGCCTTCCGGTTTCTCGGAAAGTTGGAAGATTATGGAATCGTGAATGGAAGTCAGGAACGATTTGCCACACTCTATACTCAACTTGAGGAACTCAATGGCGAGATTGAGCAGGAACAGCGACGAAGACTGCGAGTTATGAAAAAAATGGACAGGATGGAGGCGGGGGAAGGGCGAAAGGAAATCGATTACATACTGGCCAGTCCTTTTGTTATAGAACACGACCCAAACCAACGCCGTCTACTAGGACTCAAACAAGTTGATGCTGCTTCATCCGCCAGAACGGAAGAGTATAGTCCTCCGGAAAAGGAAGACATGGCCGGAATGGAGAACCAGTCCATTCCGGGAGCCAACATTGGAGCCAATCTTAGAGCGCGAAGCCCTCGACCGGGAGAACATAAAAAGCAGAAACCAAAACGAGGAGCGAAAAGAGTTGGATTTGAAGATGCACCAAGAAAATCTGCAAAGTCAGCGATTCGACGGTACTCGCGATTGAGTAGAGACGTATCTTTCTTTGGAAGGCCAATTCTGTCTGCCGCAGCTTTGGATTCAGACGGCCACATTGAAGATCACATAAATGAGGTCACAGATAAGGCATTCGTGGTAATGCGTACCTTTGCAGCAGCTACCATTGCAATTCAATCTATGCACTCGTCTAAGCCCGGTGCTATGCAGGTTACCTCGGCACCCGAACCAAGAGATATTCTCTGGCAGAATGTTTACGTCAGCAAGGGCGCGACGCGCACTCGTTCCTACTTGGGTGAATTTCTTGTCATTTTGATTATTTCCTTCTATACTATTCCCGTCGCTCTTGTATCATTGCTGGTCAGCGAAACAGCCTTGATAAATTCATCTCCTCGCTTGGCACAACTTGACCAGGCGACGYCTCTCTTCTCTTCAGTTATAGCCCTTGTGCAGCCAGTTTGCATTGTGATGATCCAGCAAATGCTCCCTCCTCTCTTCATGATAATTGGAAAATTGGAAGGATTGATTTGCTTCAGTGATGTACAGATGAGAGCATTCTCGCGATATTTTCTATTTCAGGTTCTCAACATCTTTTTAGTCACGACGATTGCGGGAAGTRTTTTCGACACGATTGCAATCATCGTGGAGACACCAGAGGCAGCTTTTGAAATGTTGGGYAATTCGCTTCCTCGCATGTCTTCTTTTTTCATCACATTTGTGACAATTAAAACATTCTTTGGGCTTGGCTTGGAACTGGTTCGCACGATGTCCCTCGTGCAAGCGACATTACGGTTTTTCCTATTTCCACACGCGACCTTGAGGACAGCTCGAAAGGTACTAGGTGGATTTTTGAGGGCTATCGATGATCCTGGATGGTTTCCTTTTCACAAAATTTTGGCGCAGGATATGCTGGTAGTTGTTATTTCGGTCGTTTTCGCCGTTGTTGCACCCTTGGTTCTATTGCCATGTGCTCTTTTTTGCCTGTTCTCGAGAATCATGTGGACGCACCATCATTTGTATGTCTATGAAAGTGTCTTCGAGAGTGGAGGAATGTTTTGGCCTAAAATTTTTCGACGTTTCATCTTCGGRTTGATCATAGCACAGATGACAATCACTGGTCAATTTATTCTGAAGGAGGCTCGTCATGAGGCTTATGCGACAATCGCACTAATGTTCATGACTTACTTATTTTTACGCAGTACTCGTGCTAGATACGATCCAACAAGCTCTACACTCCCTCTRGAGGTTGCAACAGTGATGGATATAAGTCTGAGTCAAGAAGAGAAGGCGAGAAAAAGACGAGCACAAGAACGAGCCGAAAGGATGTCTGCAAAATCCCAAAGCAACCTACCACATGGACGATCAAATGAAACTGATGATYGCACATACACCACAGGTTCTATTCCTGATTCYGGTGCGAGCGATCACGACTCCGAGTTGGGCACTTTGGTTGCAGGATATGATCCTTTCGAGCAGGCATATCTCCAGCCGGCTCTACGAGCGAATCCTCGAGCTAGACCAGAGCARCCGTTCCCTCCGGCTCAATTGGGAAGGGAAGATATTCTGTTCGGTCGTACTAGTAACAAAACAAATAACAACAGCAATTCAGGRCTAACTGATGTCGATGATTCGATGCTTGATAGTGGTGCTACTGTGCGACTGAAATCAATGAGTCAGCAGGACCGAAAGYTAACAAATCGATGGTGGGAGGATCAAATGCAACGATGCGGAGATCAAAATGTCTTCTCGATTTTAATGGGTGAATGTGGGAGTCTTACCATAGGAAGAAGGGCAACTATKGCAGAGCCCGCTGTTGGACCGTCAGAACACCAAATAGTGTAGGGAAAATATGATTGTTGAGTGGGAGTWCAAGATCACAAGAAAAAAATTTAACACTAGCCGATGTGAAATTATTCATAGGTAATTGTGGATGGYACATTGGCTCCATCCAATTTTTCAAAATAAASAACGGTAGTGATTTATCCAGAATCATCTGAAGACATCGGTTATAGAAAATGCGAAAGACGAGTCTGCATGATCAATGTCCCTGAAGATACTGGTGTTGATCATSATWTGTTTTATTTTATAAATAATTGTAGTAATTAGTATGAATTGTCTCGTGTCACCCTTGTATCCGTGTAGATTCTTGTGCTAATACACATCGACATCATTTCTTGCAAGAGCAACTTGCAAGCATAAGGGATTTCGATCTGACAAATAGCAGTGGGCTTGTCGTGGCACGAAGGCGTTCGACATTCATAGGTCATCTTCTTCAAATTGACTTGAGCCGTCAAACCGCAACGTTCGCAGATATGGATTCGGTATTGATCTGAATTACAAAAGAATCGATCGCGAATAAAATTCGCACAACCATGGGTAATCAAACAATCACGTTCCATCTCTCCCATACGCAAGCCACCATCACGGGAACGACCYTCAAGGGGCTGGCGCGTTAGCATGGCAACTGGACCACGTGCTCTGGAATGAACCTTGTCGTCGACTAAATGCTTCAAACGCTGATAAAATGTGGGACCAAAAAAGACTCGCGCGCACATAGGTCGCCCAGTGTGGCCCTGGAATAAATGCTCGTTTCCAAATTTTTGATACCCCATAGCATGGAGGCGTGTACTGATRTCTTCGACTGTGACGTCAGTGAAGGGCGTAGCATCACCCTCRCATCCYTGGAAAACGACGACCTTGCCCAGCAAACATTCGATAAGCTGGGCGATTGTCATACGCGATGGAATGGCGTGAGGATTAACAATAATGTCAGGCACCATACCTTCCACGGTGAAAGGCATATCTTCTTGACGATAGGTCATACCAATGGTACCCTTTTGACCGTGACGGGAGGCAAACTTATCCCCAACCTGTGGAACACGGACATTTCGGATTCGAACCTTGGTGAAGCGATATCCTTCTTTGGTGGTACTAATTAGAACGTTATCAACAATTCCATTTTCGTTTGCCTTCATAGATGTACTGCAATCGCGTTTGGTGTATCGAGAGGGCATGTTGGCAGTAGAATCCAACGGAGCTGTTTTGCCAATCAAGATGTCGTCTCCTGAAACACGAGTACCGGGTGCTACTAAACCGTCTTCGTCGAGTTTCCCGTATTCACCGTGTTTCATACCACGGGTCTTGTCATGAGATGGCTTCTCGAAGATTTCAGAATTCAAAGATCCCATGGTACCCACAGAACTTGCTTTTTCCTGATCAATATAGCATCTGTAGTAAGAACTTCTGAAGAGACCTCGGTCGATAGCCGATTGGTTCATGATGAGGGAATCTTCTTGGTTGTATCCGGTGTAAATCATGATAGCGACACAACAATTGACCCCACTCGGCAGCTCGCGAAAGTGCAGAAACTCCATCGCCCGAGTGGTACACAATGGCTTTTGTGGGTAGTGTAAAACGTGGGCCATGGTATCCATGCGGACCTGATAGTTGGATGCATAGATTCCCATGGCTTGCTTACCCATAGCACTCTGGTAGGTGTTACGAGGAGACTGGTTGTGATCCGGGAAGGGAATGATAGAGGCACAAACACCCAAAATCATGGATGGGTGAATTTCACAGTGAGTATAAGTGGAAGAATAGGAATCGTCAGTATCTAGATCCAACGGATCCATTGCTACCATGGTGGTTTCTTCTTCTTCTGTATCGATATATTCGACAATACCCTCCATGAGCAAATCCGTCCAGGTCAGCTTCTTCTCGCCACTCAAGCCCTGAAGTTGCATAATATGCTGYTTTTTAATAACCAATTGCTGTTCTTGGACAACGTAYAGGGGTCGGCAGATGCGACCGGCATCTGTATAGATGCGAACCTCCTTTGCGGCAATGTCTCGAACAATCGACACTTCCGCATCGATATCAACCATTCGTCGGAGAGAGCGGAAAGTGTCCACCAAAGCACGYGGATCGCGATGAATTCCAACCCAATTACCATTGACAAAAATCTTGCAGGTGTTTGGATCGGCGACCACCGACGGCAAAATATCWGTTAAATTCTCTGTACTGAATTCTTCCAAAAATTCCATGACGGGGACCTGGGCGGTACCGGTTGTAATATAGGCCATAAGAGCTAGGTTCTTAACCAAACCAACGGCCTGACCCTCCGGAGTCTCGGCCGGACACACCATCCCCCAGTGAGTGTTGTGCAGCTGACGAGGCTTTGCTTGTTTCCCGGTTCTGGCAAGTGGCGTGTTGCAACGCCTTAGATGCGACAAGGACGAAGCGTAGGTCAGTCGATTCAGGACCTGTGACACACCTGCCTTTGGAGCGCTAGCTCCCTTGTCTCCCCAATTTCCCGTTGCCAGACTGTACTTCAAACCGTCCGTAATGTGATTGCTCTTGATAGCGGCACCAATGTTGAAATGTTTCCCCTCGTCCAGGCATCGTTGCAAATGCCGACGAACGTCCAGCGTCAGTTTTCGAAAAAGCAATCGGAAGAGTCCCCCAAGCAAAGGTCCCGCTAGATCGAGGCGCTTCTTTCCAAAGTGATCCCTATCGTCCTCTTCGGCGCGTCCCAGTTTGCAGGAAAGGAGCTTGTGGACGGCATATCCGATGAAGAAACCCTTTTTCGTCTCGCAATGTTCTTCGATGCCAACATGCGGAAGAACYTCCTTCTGCAAAATGGCAGAGGCATAGCGAATACGATCGTCCTTGGTAACATCTCTCGCGCTTCCACGCCGTCCGATGAAATCCAGGGCAACCTCCTGTCGCTGAATCACAAAGGCTTCCTCCAGAGAGGGCCGGAACAAGTCCATCATTTCTCCGTCGGTGAGATCGTACACAACGTGCTCGATAATATCCCGATCGGCGACGTATCCCAGGGCACGGAAAATAATCACCACCGGAACATCGGTCCGGATGTAGGGCAAGGTGGACCGAATCTGGTTTCCCTCGATGGCTCCCCGACCACCCTTTTGGTACATCTGGAGATACAGCGTCGAAACGGGTCGGGTGGAGTTCTCCACTTGYGATCGCGTCTCGATGACCCAGGAGAATTTTGAGGGCTGCTTCTTTCGGAATGCGTAGACGTGGTTGTTGGACAGGCGTTCCTGCGCAATAATGACTTTTTCGCTTCCGTTAATGACAAAGTACCCACCCTGATCATAGATGCACTCCCCTAGATCGCTTAGATCTGTATCGTCCTTGTCACTGAGCACACAAAAAAGAGACCTGAGCATGATCGGCACGTACCCAAGAAATTCCTTTTTGGCATGTTCCGTGGACTCGGCCTCTCCCATGTCCTCTGCCGGGTCAGTAATGTTGATATCCCGCGGAACGCGGTACTGGTTCATCATGACGTCCACGTAGAGAGGTGCCGAATAGGTCAGGTTTCGTAGACGCGCCTCGTGGGGGAACATGTTKGTAACGGTTCCGTCCTTTTCGACCGTGGTCGGCTTCGAGAGATAGACCTGGCCGAATTTGATTTCAAAGACGGGCTTGGTCTCCCCGAACTGGACGTCGTCTGCATCCTCGTCGTCGTTGTATCCGACCATGTGCTGGAGTTCCGGGGAGACCCGAATGTCTCCCGAGGAATCGACGAGTTCCTGCATCGTGTTCTGAATGAACTCGTCGAAGGAATCGAGCTGCTGCCGGACGAGACCCTTTTCTTCGAAATACGCAGAAATTACGGCCCACGAGTCTTCCTGCGTGACTGGAACCTCGTCGATGTCTATCATCCCGTCCTCGCCTTCGTAGCCACCACCACCTCCTCCTTCGGCATCCATCATCATTTCGTCATTCCCGTATTGCTGTTGCTGCTGTTCCGCCATCATCATTCCRTGGCCCTCCATGCCGGTTTCATCTCCGAAATTCATGGTTTTCGCGGTTTTATGCAAGATGGATGAATGGATTGCTGTCTCGTTTGCTTGTTCTTTTCTTCGTTCGCTTTCACACTYGCAGCCAGTGGTTGAAGTACGATAKAGGATCTCTACCTTCTGACTTCAGTGTACCTCTATTGGCCTCTTTGCCTCGCTGTCTACGCTAGTATTTCGAAATAACGGGTACCCGAACTAACCGTATCTGCTGGAGGGACGATCGAGGATTTCAATASCGACAGTATCTACGAAAGAGAGATGAATCAGTCAATGGGAATRACGAAGCCTATCTCGTAGCGAGGTTGTGTCTTGGTGCTGTCTCTGCAATCGTAGGGTACGAGCGGGCTCTGCTGCTTTCAGTGTGTTGTTGGACGACTGCTACCGACATGAGGCTTCATCGGATCACAACAAGCATTGCCTTGCGCTGATCTGACATTTACCGGCACGTACGCTAGTGTTCGTTACGTACTGGGAAGATAGAGTACGGTACGGATTGAACGTTTCGTACCGTAAAGCACGGTACCGTACCGGCCGGTACGGTATGTACGGTACAAGGACGGAATGATACGAGCTGGACTCCTACGGCGCAAATGGTTTAGTACGTAGAAGTACGGTACTATCTGCACTATCTAGTACCGTACCACTACCTTACCGGACGATAATTTTTCTTTTCCACCGGGTACCAGTACTTGTACGCGTACGACTGTACAAAGTGTTTATCGTACGGTACAACTACCCTATGCGTCTGCACAGCTCTCGCGAAATCGGATTGGAGGAAATGTGGGGTGGAGGGTGGTCGTCGACTAGTTAGACCGGAATGTTCGCGCCGATTTGTCGTTCGAATCGAACGAATCTCAAAATAAATCACCGCGAACGGCTGCGATGCGGCATGTACCATACGTACTCTACGGTAGTACGTACCATAGATTAATTGTTCCAATATTATTTTTTATTTTTTCGTCACTATTAAGAGTACTGCTACTACTTATTTTTAGTACTTACTACTAGTAGTAGTAATAGTGAATGCCACGTATTACTAGCGGTTGTAGCATTACTAAAAAGTAGTAAGAATACCATCACTAGTAGTAGTACTAGTAGTAATTAGTACCATCTACTAGTACTAGTAGTAGCTTTTCTATTGACGTTCATTGTCATCTCAGAGCTTGCTCCTGTTGCTGTTGATGTGTTCTTGTCCTCATTGTTAACGACTATCAAGTCAATAATTCCTCCTCTGCTCTGGAAAAAAGATTCATAAACGCAAGTAATACTTCTCTGAAAAAATCTAACACAAAGTGTCTGCTACTACTGTGGTGCGTCCTCCGCAACAATCATCTCCCGTAGTTTGTCGTGATCGAGTCCGCAAACCTGCAACCATCTTGCTAGGTCGTCGAGTGGATCTTCGATAGAAACGCTGGCACTTTCCGAAAGAATGGGCCATTTTTCTCTGTCCTCCTTTGGGACCAAGAGCTCCAACCGAACATTCGCGGAGCGCAGTATTCCATGAATGTTTGTCCCTTTTACGCGCCCAAGCAACATGCCCTCTGGTTTGCCTGCCATCCATAAAACAATTGGAGGAACAAGATTGATTCGAGTTAGTTAAAGTTTTTCATCGTAGCAGTCGTGATCCAGTCTTGAATAAACCTACCATTGTCGTATGCGAGAAGAGGAGCCATTCCTCGGTATGCATCGGCAATATCCTTTCGCTCGGAAACGACAACTTGCTTGGGCCCACWGTCTAGTTCGTACCCTTCGACGTAGAGCCCTGAAGGATAGAGTTGGCCCTTCATGCGATTGAGGTGTTTGCATTCTGCGGGTTTTGCGGTGAACGACAACGGAAAGAGCCCGATGCCTTTTCGGATGGTGTTTTCTCCCTTTAGATTCCGACCGAGCATCTGGTAGCCACCGCACATACCCAGAACCGTCCCTCCAGCCGCAACGTGTTCCCGTATAAAATCCGCCCACCCAGAATCCTTTGGGTTTTGTTTCCAAGAGCAGAAAACCAGATAGATTAGAGAAATCGCTTGCATACCATACCATCGAACTGATCGGAATTCCACGCGACCCCCAAAATATTTGATTCGGAACTACACGTGTACTTACATTAATCCATTTCAAGTCCGGTAGCGGAAGCCTAGAGCCCGGAAGAATCACCGCTGYGGTGGCGGGATAGGGTTTTGGTACCCGTTTCCTTCGCCACTCGATGGAAAATCTACCATCGCTTTCCAGAGGACTCAGGTCGCTGGATATTGTTGAGTGAGGATATGCAACTACTACAACTACCGGTTTTTCCCTCGCTACTTTGTAATGGTCCACTCTGTCCGTCTCCCCGCGATCGTTGTATTGGTTGTGGTCCCCTCTTYTCTCCCAAGAAAGCCTATCTTCGATGTTTATCCCGGCCTCTTTTCGCCCGTGCCAATTTTCGAGAAATGGTATTGCGAACAGTGGCTTCCCCGCCATCTGTTTTAGTGTCTTCAAGCCCCCCGAGTATSCCTCGATGTCCCCTTTCACCTTGTTCACAATCACTCCCACGCACAGGTCCCAGTCTCTCTTGGAAAGACACATTTTGGTACCAACGACCTGAGCAAAGACGCCCCCGTTTTCGTCGTTCGCAACAAGAAACCAGGGACACTGAGAAAACCATCGCAAGTTACGAAGTGTAAGGTACACGTATTCAACCACACGATGGAGGCGCAAACCAACAAGGACASAACGGCTCCTGCTGCTGCTGCACCGAAATCGTTCTGTTTCCACCRTTGCACCTAGAACGSACACGGCGATGTCCCACGTACCTTCAGGCGACGCACAATCGGAAGGTTGACAATGTCCCCGTCCATGAGATGGAGTTCCGAGCAGGAACCGGCCCCCTGGACGACRACTACCTCCGCCCCCGTGACGGTTGCCAGGGAACGGTGCGCGTCCAGAACAATGTTCCGCAGCGCACGGATTCTCGTWGAAAAGGCMGAGTACGTCTCCCGGAGGATCTGTTTCCCCATAACGATCATGGCACACAATGCCTCGTCGCGTTCCATGTCCCTCTCCCCGGACTTGAAGAACAACGGATTCATGTCGACCCGCGGCAATATCTTGCACGCCTCGGCCTGCATGGCCTGTGCCGTGCTGATCTGGCCCCAGCCCTGGTCGTCCGCSGGGGCTTTTGGAGGCCCCTGYGGCAAAGCCTTCCCCTCGCGGGCCCCTTGTTCGGTGCGGTCGGTCGGGCCCGTCCTGGCGGCAAAGGAKCCGTACAGGTCCTTCCTSCGCGAGGGGTCCGGGAGCAGCGCGGGGGACGTCCCCGAGCCCGTGTTCTGCGCCTTGAAGGGCGCGCAGTTCGTTCCGCCGTTGGCGAGCACCCTGCAAATGCCGGCGGCGATCACGCTCTTGCCGACCCCGGACATGGTCCCCAGGAYGGCGACGCTGTTGGTATAGCGYCGTTCCTCGCAGCTGCTCGCAGTGGTGACCGTGGAGACGCTGCTCCCCGGGGACTTCCGTGCCGCACCGGTTCCGGTGCGTCTCCGCGGCTTGGCTCGGATCCTGGCCGGAGGCCCGTGCCGCCGAAGGTTGCTGGTGTTCGTTCTCCCCGATGCTTCGGACCATTCCCCGCTTCGAAGCGATCCTTCCTCCGAATAGTGGCTCTTCCCGGATACTCCCYGGCGRTCGTTGGCGTTGCTGTGCATCCGTTGTCGATTGGGGCGAGGGTGTTGCGGCGATGACGGTCCCGGGGAAACCCTCAAACTCGCGTGTGTGTTTTCGCCCGCATGGGTGGGTGCTCTCGACGATTGTTGCCTGCTGCTTTGGCTGTACGCAGTGGACGCGCTCTGGCCGGTGGCAGACGAAACGGACGAACTCGTAGCGCCGCGAAAATCTCGCTCGCCTCCGGAACCGGGTTTCCGCACCCGCCTCCTCCGTATTATCTTTTTTCGGTTCGGGGCTGGTGTTGGTTGGTCCTCGCTGTATTTGCTGTGGCTGTGGGAGCCTTCGTCGATGATTTCCATTCTTCCGGGCTTGGATGGATTCCTGTTGTTGCTTCCATTCCGCCACGTTCGTTCTCTCCTCCTCCTCCTCGAGGAGTCGGAGTCCGTTTTCCTGCTACTGCTGGCCAGAGAACTGCTCCCGGTGGCATCGAGATTGCTGCTGCTCTTGCTTATTCGGAAGCTCTCCATGTAGCTCTCGAAGCTGGCATTCTCGCTGATACCGTCGTCCTGGTCGTGCTTTTCGGGAGACACGGGACCGGGAAACTCGGGGAGGTCGTCCTCCTCGATCCATACCGATTCCTCCAAATAATAGACATACTCGTCGTCGTCGTCGTCGGCAAAGGAAACTTCTTCTATCTCCTCGCCAAAGGCACCGGTATCGTAATTCGCGGCACCCACGTTCCCATTCCTGTTAGCATGGTTCGAGATTGCGTGTTCCGTGTGCGAGATGGCATGGTCCGTACCGAACGCCTCCTCTTCTTCGTCGCCAAGGGTGACTTCCTCGTAGGATTCGTCGTCGTCCAGGACCGTTACTTCCTCGAGTTCGTCGTCGTCGTCGTCGCGGCCGTCGCCATAGTTCTCGCCGTTCGATTGGTGATGGGAAGAATTGGCGAAAGGGTCAAAGGCTTCCGCCATAGTGGTGGCTGGTATTTCGTGCGTCGTTGCGGCCAATCGAATTGTGAATTGTACATGAATTATGGACGTCCCGCAATATCGAACTTCGAAGCTGCGTGTATTGTTTACAGTTTTGATGAAAAGAAAAGTACGGTACCGTACTACCGGTACTACTTCGACCGTTAGCTTTTTACCATACCGTGCCATCTTGCTTGGAACCTCCAACAAAAATAATTTTTCTCATTTGGTTTGCTTGAAACTTCCTCTGTGGTAGAACGACTCTTCTTAGTAGTACGTAGTAGTAGTAACAGTACTAGTCTATAGTAGTAGTACTAGTCTAGTACTACTAGTACTACTTGTTGTAGTAATACAACAAGAAGTACCACTACATCCCACTCTGGTGAACATGATTGGCTGGCTAATGCAAGTACTTAGTAGTACTACAGTGCAAAAACCTAAGCAAGTGGAAAGGTGGGAAAATGAAAAAGAATTTAGATCAAGAAGAAGTGAATGAACAGCACAATTCCCCCTGTGCTGGCTACTACTACTAATACTATTTGTTGTTTCTAAACTAGGAATGGAATTCATTGATTGTTTGTTGTCTATGTCTGATATTGTTGGCAGTGTTGTGTTCTGAGAAGAGAAGAGAAGAGAAGAGAAG